TGGGAGGATGTAAATGCTAGTCATCATTTTTACATTTTAAACGAACTAGTATGGATGTGTTGTTTTGGAATTCTAGTATAATGTGCAATTTAAAATTCTGATATTCATTATATTATGTTATGAAGGATAATTGCTGAACTGTCTTAATTTCTGTTCTGTCAATTACATGGAAATGGATGGTTTAAATTGTTTATTCTTATTTTAACAATTTAAAATGAGGTTCTATGAATATAATCATATACTGGATGCATGATAGGAGCTTAGCTATATCTGATTTTATTATGTTGGTTCTGGATATATTTGATGTTCATTTTGAGTGTGCATCATGTGTGGATCATATGCATTATATGTACCGGTATGGGACGGTGACATATCAGGGATGGATTAGATCAAAAAGCTAAGTCCTACCCCTTCCATACATACGGAATGGATTAACTAAAATAGTTAAATCCTACATGGATGCATGTCCTGTCAACTAAAACAGTTGAACGACATAACGGATGTTTGTTTACTTTTCTGCATTAGGAAAGAATTTATATATATATTTATGGTACCGTGATACGAGCTTGAGTCTCCTGATCACGGTTAGGGTGCGTATATTGCAAAGGTTGAGTAGCTAGATATAGCTAATGTTCCCTGGTAGGTCTAGGTACTTGGCCGCTGAAAAGCGTGTTTTATATGTCACCTTCTACCCAGGCTGAACTATGTTATAGGCTAGTGAGCATCCTATAGTGTGTATTTATATATCTATGGACTATTGTAGATATTGCCGAGCTATCTAGGATGTATCTGCGTATCGGGTTTATGTACGGATTGTAGTAGGATGGAACGTGCATGTGGGCCTGACCCACCTTTATTTTTCAGGTGTTCGTGAGTACCAGGCTTAGGGTTTGATCGTGGTGATGCAGATACAGTCACTCACTCTTCCGACTACATAGGATTTTCTTTCTTATTTTGGTTTTGGATTTGAATTCTGTAAATGTTAATCACTCACTCTTCCAACTACATAGGATTTTCTTTCTTATTTTGGTTTTGGATTTGAATTCTGTAAATGTTTTACCAGTTGGAAATATTAGGGGTCCACTATATGGATTCCCGAGTTGTACGGATTGGAAAGTTTATTTATATTAAAACTTTTATTTTGGAGGTTTTACAATTAGAATTCTTTTCAGCGTATAATTATTTTATTCTTAATTCAGTTTTATTCCTGCTTGTTTATATATTGATTGTCTGGTATCCTTCGGATCTGTGCCCGGACTTGATCACCCGTGGTTCTAGAATCGAGGGGTATCACACTCCTCTATCCCTTTACTATTGATAATGAAAGATTAGTTACTCGACCTTTTGGACAAAAAGTCCAGTTTAAGTTCCTTAGTCCTCTTTCCAGAAATGAGTTAAAATCAGTTATTGATTCTTCTGTTTCAAAGACACTAAATTTATTACATAACAAAACTCAACAGTTGAGTTTTTTAAAAGAAGAAGTCAAATACAAAAGAATTGATAATCAGTTAACTGAACCAGTTCTCCAAACAAAAATTCAAGATTTTGAACAACACATTAAAAATACAGTTTGTTCTGATCTACCAATTGCTTTTTGGCACAGAAAAAGACATTCTGTAAAGTTACCTTACATTAAAGGCTTTAGGAGACGACATATTCCTACTAAAGCCAGACCAATTTAAATGAGCCCTGAAGTCATGGAATTTTGTAAAAAAGAGATTAATGATCTCCTACATAAGAAGATTATTAAAAAGAGTAAGTCGCCCTGGTCGTGTCCAGCTTTCTATATTCAGAAAAATTCTGAAATAGAAAGAGGTGTTCTCTGCTTAGTCATCAATTACAAGCCCCTAAATAAGGTCTTAGAATGGATTAGGTATCCTATTCCCAATAAGAAAGATCTTATTAGTCGCCTTAGTCAAGCAGTTATTTTCTCCAAATTTGATATGAAGTCAGGATTTTGGCAGATTCGCCTTCGAAAGAAAGATAGGTACAAAACTGCTTTCACTACTCCATTTGGTCATTATGAATGGAAAGTAATGCCCTTTGGATTGAAAAATGCTTCTAGTGAATTCCAAAATATCATGAATAATATTTTCAACCCTTATAGTCATTTTTCCATTGTTTATATTGATGATGTTCTTATTTATTCCAAGTCAATTGATGAACACTGGAAACATTTGAAATCGTTTCTGGCAACAATTCAAAAGAATGGTCTTGTTGTTTCTGCTACAAAAATCAAGCTATTCCAAACCCGAATCAATTGGTCAAGCCCGAGGAAGGGGTATTTCTAATTTCACTTTTCAAATTTGAATGGGACTGGTAATTAATCTGTTAAAAGATACGTGACATAATACTAGTTAATAATTTTGAATAAACTAACTACAATGGTGAGTTCTTGTCTCATTAGGCCAAGTTGTTGATCTTAGTTGATCCTATGATTAATATCAGAATCAAAGACCCTTTTTTGGTATAATTCTTCATCCTTGCTCTATGGGAGAGAAATTTTTGTAATAATACTAAAAATTGTAAGTTAGTCTATCTTCATAAATATCTTAATTAAGAACTAAGTATTCACTTTTTACTAGTAATTTATTTGACCATTCTAATTTTTTGATTTGAATATTTGAAGTATTTAGGAAAGACTCAAAATAAATAAGAATAGAAAATTCTAAAATTCTCTTTAAGTTAGTTTAAGTTAGTGCATATCTTTATTTTTTTTATTGACTCCTTTCGAAAAAGGCAAGATCTGGCGAATCGGAAACAATTAATTACTTTTTATTTTTTATGGAACATACATATCAATATGCGTGGATCATACCTTTGATTCCACTTCCAGTTCCTATGTTAATAGGAGTGGGGCTTCTTCTTTTTCCGACGGCAACAAAAAATCTCCGTCGTATATGGGCTTTTCCTAGTGTTCTATTGTTAAGTATAGTCTTGATTTTTTCGATCGATCTGTCTATTCAGCAAATGAATAGCAGTTCTATCTATCAATATGTATGGTCTTGGATCATCAATAATGATTTTTCTTTAGAATTGGGCTACGTAATCGATCCACTTACTTCTATTATGTCAATATTAATTACTAGTGTTGGAATTATGGTTCTTATTTATAGTGATAATTATATGTCTCATGATCAAGGATATTTGAGATTTTTTGCTTATATGAGTTTTTTCAGTACTTCCATGTTGGGATTAGTTACTAGTTCAAATTTGATACAAATTTATATTTTTTGGGAATTGGTTGGAATGTGTTCCTATTTATTAATAGGATTTTGGTTCACACGACCAGTTGCGGCAAATGCTTGTCAAAAAGCGTTTGTAACTAATCGTGTAAGGGATTTTGGTTTATTATTAGGAATTTTAGGTTTTTATTGGATAACAGGTAGTTTTGAATTTCGGGATTTATTCGAAATAGTAAATAACTTGATTTTAAAAAATGCGGTCAATTTATCATTTATTACTGTGTGTGCCGTTCTAGTATTTGCCGGTGCAGTTGCTAAATCTGCACAATTCCCCCTTCATGTATGGTTACCTGATGCCATGGAAGAGCCTACTCCTATTTCGGCTCTTATACACGCTGCTACTATGGTAGCGGCAGGAGTTTTTATTGTAGCTCGGCTTCGTCCTCTTTTCACAGTCATACCTTACATACTGAATCTAATATCTTTGATAGGTATAATAACAGCATTATTAGGCGCTACTTTAGCTCTTGCTCAAAAAGACATTAAGAGAAGTTTAGCCTACTCTACAATGTCTCAGTTGGGTTATATGATGTTAGCTCTAGGTATGGGGTCTTATCGAACTGCTTTATTTCATTTGATTACCCATGCATATTCGAAAGCATTTTTGTTTTTAGGATCCGGATCTGTTATTCATTCAATGGAAACTATTGTTGGATATTCTCCGGATAAAAGTCAGAATATGGTTCTTATGGGGGGTTTAACAAAACATGTACCAATCACAAAAATTTCTTTTTTATTAGGTACACTTTCTCTTTGTGGTATTCCACCTCTTGCTTGTTTTTGGTCCAAAGATGAAATTCTTAATGATAGTTGGTTGTATTTACCAATTTTTGCAATAATAGCTTGCTCTACAGCAGGATTAACCGCATTTTATATGTTTCGGATCTATTTACTTACTTTTGAGGGTCATTTAAACGTTCATTTTCAAAATTATAGCGGCAAAAAAAATACCCCGTTCTATTCAATATCTCTATGGGGTAAAGTAGGCTCGAAAACAATTAACAAAAATTTTCGCTTATTAACTTTATTAACAATGAATAATAATGAAAGTGCTTCGTTTTTTTCAAAGAAGACATATCGAATTAAGGAGAATATAAGAAAGATGACACGAACCTTTATTACTATTTCTCATTTTTGCAATAAGAACATTTATTCATATCCTTATGAGTCGGACAATACTATGTTATTTCCTCTGCTTGTATTAGCCCTATTCACTTTGTTCGTTGGATCCATAGGAATTCCTTTCAATCACGAAGGAGTGGATTTGGATATATTATCCAAATGGTTAAATCCGGCTATAAACCTTTTACATCAAAATTCGAATGATTTGATGGATTGGTATGAATTTGTGAAAGACGCAATTTTTTCAGTTAGTATAGCTTATTTTGGAATTTTTATAGCATCTTTTTTATATAAACCCGTTTATTCATCTTCGCAAAATTTGAACTTAATTAATTCATTTGTTAAAACGGGGCCTAAGAGAACTCTTAGGGACAAAATAATAAATGGGATATATGATTGGTCATATAATCATGGTTACATAGATGCTTTTTATGCAGCATTTTTAACTGGAGGTATAAGAGGATTGGCTAAATTAATTCATTTTTTTGATAGACGGATAATTGATGGAATTACGAATGGGGTTGGTATTATGAGTTTCTTTGTAGGAGAAGGCATCAAATATATAGGAGGGGGGCGCATTTCTTCTTATCTATTCTTGTATTCATCTTATGTATCAATCTTTTTAGTAATTTA